ATAAGGGTGCGCAGCAGGGTGAGGATGAGGATGAGGATGAGGATGAGGATGCGGATGAGAAGGAAGAGACGGAGGAGGAGGAAGAAGAAGAGGAGAGCGGGAAGGAGCAGGAGTAGCGGCAGCAGTGGACGGGAGCTCTCGCAAAGCGCGTCAAGAGGAACCGAACAACATCTAATGGCGACGACGGCTGGCAACCAGGCGAGGCAATGACAGCCAACGCCGAGCATAGAACCCTCTGACGACCAGTCAAGCACAGCGTTTGAAACAGAGACATCATTTACCCTTGGTCGCCATGCAGCACTTCCCTAGGCCCTCAAGCACTTCCCAAGATGTCGCATTCTGGACCTTCAGCACAGATCCCGAAGCTCAGACGCCTCCAGCTTGGAGGCCTGGCGCAGAAGCCAAACGCCCCCAAGCTGGATAGCAAAAAGCTGAGCAGGGCGGGGCGCCCACCCGAAAGCGACGGCAGCGGAGGGCACCAGTAGAGGTACTCCTCTCGCAGCGCGACGAGGCACAGGCCGTCAGCCTGGGCCAGCACCCAGCCCTTCTGGCGCTGGTACACCCTGCTTGAGCAGGGACCGACCGTCCCGGCATTCCTACAGGCCTACCACGACATGTTCTTAGAACACACAAATGTTCTAATAACAACAACAATGTTCTCAGAACGTAAGCCCGATGTATTATAACACGACAGCCCCAGCCAGAAGTGTTCTGAGAACAGTTCGCGAAGACCACAAAAGTTCTTTGAACATCATTGGAGTCCCGAAACGGTGCGGTGACAGACCGTGCGGTGACCTCGGAATCCCAAGAGACCTCACCGCACGGTCCGTCACCGCACGGTTTTGGGACCCTGGAGGCCCCTGTCGCCCGAGACGTCCTCGAAGAGGGACTCGAGTGCCAAAACCGTGCGGTGACCCCGAATCCCCACCGACTCACCGCACGGTGTGGTCACAACCCCGTTTGGGGGCCCCCGAACATTGTTTGGTGGGCCTATAGGCACGCCCGGACGCTTCGCCACTGCTTGAAGCCTGTGCTGCATCTCCCGCTGGATGCCCTCCGCGCTCTGCGTCGCCATCGCGCGGAAGTCCGAGACCGGCGACTCGAACACGAAGAGGAAGCCCAGCGGGGACCGCAGCCACCTCTCGAGGAGCCAGCCCTTCTTCTCCTCCTCCTCCTCCGCCTCCTCCTCCTCCTTCTCCTCCTTCTCCTCCTCCTCCTCCTCCTCCTCCTCCTCCTCCTCCTCCTCCTCCTCCTCCTCCTGCCCCTCACTCCTCCTCCTCCTTCTCCTCCACATCCTCCTCCTCCTCCTACTCCTCCTCCTCCCCCTCCCCCTCCTCCTCCTCCTCCACCTCCTCCTCTCTGCCCCTATCCTCCTCCTCCCTCCTCCTCTCTCCTTCCTCCTCCTCCTCCCCCTCCTCCTCCTTTTCCACCTCTCCCTCCCCCCTCCTCCTCCTCCTCCCTCCATCCTCCTCCTCCTCTTCTCCTCCCCCTCCTCCCTCCCCACCCTCTTCTCGCTCCTCCTCCTCCTCCTCCTCACTCCTCCTCCCCTCCTCCTCCTCCTCCTCCTCCTCCTCCTCCTCCTCCTCCTGCTTAGTTGCACGCGGGTCCCTGTATGGTCCCAGAAATTCACAGTTCCCTGGGAACCCTGGTGTTAAACGATTTCAATATTCTCGCGACTCCAAGGAAGCCGCGGATCTGGATCTAGCCCGAATCCGTTTTTATATCACCGCTCAGGACTGGTTCCCGGGAATCGGTTCTGAACGAACCCCAGAAACACCCAGAAAGGCAGATAGGGCTCGCCAACTGACCTGAATTCGGAAGGCAATCGAGTTCCAGCGGATTTTCATGACAGCTCACAGGGACCCGCGCGCAATGTGGGAGGAGGAGGAGGATGGAACTCAAATCCCCCGGGGCAGGGCATGCAAGCAAAAGATAAGACCAGAGAGATGGCGGCAGAGGGATTGCAACCGAGCTGTTTTCCTGGTCAAGGGGCGGCGCGCCGCCTCCCGGATCCTCGAGTCCTGACGTGAACAAGCTGGGCAAATGGCAGGCGCCGCTCCCGCTCCTCTCTCGCTTCTCTCTCGTTCCACCTCTGTTGCCTTCGCCGTCGCCGCATGTGCCGAGCGTGAGCAAAAGCCCCGAAAACGAGACAGGCGAAACCACGGACCCGCGACGATGGCCCCGCCTGCCGCCCTGCCGAGCTGCTGCAGCTGCTAACAGCTGCGACGGCCGCTGGTCAGCTGCATTCTTCCCGTCCCCACTCCCTCACCCTTCCCCGTTCCTTTCCCGATGACCCCCTCCTTAAAATCACGCAGCATAGCTAGAGCAATCACCAACCGCCAATGCATATCATTGGCGCCCCATCTCGTGTCGCCCTATTGTCACCTGTCTCACTGCACCGATTACTGAACTCGGAAGGATCCTACGGCACAGAGCGCACACCGCCTAACACAACAATGCGTGGCGTAGCTCAATCTATATATTGGCCGTCTTGGCCCCCCATCAGTTGCACAACCTCCCCCATCCTCTGCGCTACTGGGTTGTCGTCGTGCGCGTGCAGTCCGATCAGCGACTCGTAGTTGTACGCATCGTTCGTGAGAAGAGTGAACCGCAGGCCGTACACGAGGACGCCCTCGATGACGACTTCCACGGCGATCCAGCCAGGCGGGACCCAGAGAGCGGCCTCCCAGCGCATGAGCGGAGGGGGGAGGAGGAGGAGGAGGAGGAGGAGGAGGAAAAGGGGAGAAGAAGGATGAGAAAGGGATGGAATAAGTAGCAGCAGGATGAGGCCGGGGAGGGATGCGCAGGGGCGGAAGGGCACCAGAGAGAGAGAGAGAGAGAGAGAGAGACAGAGAGAGAGAGAGAGAGAGAGAGAGAGAGAGAAAAAGAGAGAAAGAGAGAAAGAGAGAAATAAAAAAGAGAGAGGAGAGGGAGGGCGAAGCAAGGACGAGGGATGACAGCGTCAGGCTCCCGGACTCCTCAGCCATTCTCCTCCTGTGTCCTCCTCTCCTCCTCTCCTCCTCCCTCCTCCCCCTCCTTCTCTCCCTACTCCCCGTCCAAGCTGCGGCACCCCAGTCGCCTCGGGGCGCTGGTCGATGCAGTGGGCCTCGCAGCCGTTCGTGTGCAGCCACTCGAAGTCGCTCGACTTGAACTGCTTGATGCGCTCCTTGACGTCCTCGAAGCCGAGCTGGTCCACCCCGTCGCGCCTCCTGATGGCGGCCGCCAGTGCGGCCACAGGGAACAGGATCCACCGAATGACCCCGCTTGCGAGCACCTTCCACTGCCCGAGGCCCAACGCGGTGCAGTTCACCCCGTAATACGTCTGGTCGTATCCGTACACCCAAACCTGAGATAAGAGTTGATCGAATTTGTTTGCCTCGACCGCGTAGTCTGGCTCCTTGATGACCTTCGCCAACTCGCCAAACAGCGCCACGGCTTCCTCCTTGCCCTCCCTCGCGTACAGGGGGAGCTGGGTGCGCTTCTCGGTTTTGAAATCATCCTTCTTTTTGTACTGGCCTCCGAACGTCGCCAAGGACATCTGCATGACTGGCATTTTGAACGTCGTGGGAATCAGGGCGAAGTCTTTGATCAGGAAGGGCTTCTTGGAATCAATAGAGTCAGGGTTGCCCTGGTAGACCATCACAGCCTTGACGAAGCCTGTCTCCATCAGCGTCCGAACGTCGATGCCGCATACGCTGGGCGCCTCTGCGGCCCCCTTCTTCACCTCCTCCGCAGCTGCCTTGGCCGTCTTGCGAACGCCGGCAAGGATCGCAGCGCCGGACTCCCTCTTGCGCTTGACAGACTCACGCTCGATCTTCCTCTGCTTATTCGTCATGTGGTTCTTCACTCGCTGGATAGATGCATGGGTCGATTCCTTCAGTTGTTTAACCATGGCCAGAGACTTCTTGTAACCACTCCAAATGTCATTCATGTCATCCACGGTGTCGACGCGCATCAAGTCGGCAATCATATCAGTCATCTCCGCCTTGCTAATCAGGTCGCCCGGCAATTGAACCATCATCTTGCACTGCCTCTCGTTCTCAAGCACTTCGCGGAGATATTTCGTAATCTTTTTGCAAATCCTCTTGTCCGACTTCCTGTCGCTGCCGCCCTGTGATGGGGTAGGCGCGCCCCCGCGCACGCTGCCGGAGCCCGTCCTGAGGAGCTTCTCTGGCGGGGACCCATGCAAGGGCCTAAGTGCAACGCCGAATCCGCGCGGCTGCTGCTGTAAGTCAGGCTGGGCCTCCTGTGGCAGACCATCTTTGCCCAGCGCTGGCCCAGCTGGCGGCTGACTCCCCTGGGCAGTCGCACGACTCTCCGCCGCGCCCGCCGCCTCAGCCGACGCCTTATCCCCGTCCTTCGGCGCCTCCTTCTTCTGGCTGCCCTCAGCGCCCTCCTCGCCATCCTTCTTGCCATCAGCAACCCCAGCTTCAACTTCAGGCTTGCCACCCGTGCTCGGACGTGCCTCGGCAGCGCCATCGGGTTCACCCCCGGACGAAGCATCCTGCACCTTCATCTCACGATCGCCTTCCTTGGGCTTGTCTTGCTCGACCTTCTCCTCGGCATGCTTTCCCTTGGTCTGGCCACCCTCGCTCCCCCTGAGGAGCAGCTTCAGGATCTGAGGCTTATCCTGCTCCTGGGGCTTCTCCTGCTCCTGAGGCTTCTCCTCCCTCGCCGCGTCCTCCTTCTCCTGAGGCTCCTGCTGCTCCTCCTCCATGGGCTGGGCAGCGTCGCTCCCCGTAGCCGGCATGACCTTGCTTGCGTCCGCAGCCTCCTGGGCAAGATCGGCGCCCTGACTGGCGGCGGGCGCCGCGGCTGCTGCGGCGGCTGGCGCCGGGGCCACTTCGGCGGGCGGATGCTGCGTCGCCTGCGCTGGGCCAGCCCCCTCCTGGGGCGCATCAACCGCACGCTGGACGACGAGACGGCGATCCTTCACCCCCACCCTGGGAAACCTCTCCTCCCCCCCCCCCCCCTCCAACGTCCAAAACTAATTCAAATATTTCCCGAAATCCCACCCGATGCCCTACGACGCCACAAGACTCCCCCTCCATTTAAGACCCCAGCTCCGGTTGCTGCAGCATGTTCGCCGACAGAGCGGAGCCGACTGGCGCGGCATCCCTGCACAGGTCCACGCCGTGCTTGATGCCCTTCAAATCCGCCGTCAAGCCAGCGACGTACTCACGCAAATTCGGCACATGCGCCCACTCCTCCTCAGTGGCCAACCAGATCGAAATCGCATAGCCGCGGTGCATGAAAGTCTCCACGAAGGAGACCATCCGGGAATCCTCTTGGTCATAGTTATCGCAGACCTCTTTGAATTGAGATTGGTGCTGCGAGATGACCGCATGAATGCCCGCTACCACCAGCTTGAACTCTTCCTCGGCCTTCTCCGACAGCAGGGGCCCCTCAATGAGGGGGTCCACGCGCTTCTTCTTGCTCCCCGCCGCCGAGCTCGCTGAGGCACCGTCGACAATGGCGGTGAGAGAAGCAGCCGACGCCCTATCCTCATCAGCCTTTCTCAGGCCGCTCAGCAGGCTGTTGGAGAAGGAGCCGACGGACTTATCCATGAAATCAGTCAAGCTCTTACGATCCTCAGTCTTGAGCTGGTCTGCCTTCATCGACTTGCTCCCTTCTTCGAAGGACTGCTGCAAATATCTTTCTTTGGTTTTTTGCCGCGTCTGGTTCTTGCAGATCCACACCATGGAATTGGGGCCGAATTCCTCTGGGCCATCCTTGTCGTCTGGGTGCGCCTTCTCCCACAAATCCTTGAACTCAGCAGCGGCTGCGGATTGGCTCATCTTGTGCTTCTTGAAGTCGACGTAGTCGCTGACGTCCATGAGCTCCTGATTCTCGTGGTGGGCGATTGACACTTTGATTCCAAACATCTTCCGCCACATTGCCCAATCAATCAATTTCTTCCGGAATCTCCCAGTAGGGTTCTCCTTCTCCCACTCCTGCAAAGCTGCGTCTGCTCTTGCAGGGTCCTCCGCGATCTGGTTGAAGGTAGGGAGCTCACCCTTGGTCTCGGCCTGGTACCTCATGGCCTTTACCATGGGCTCGTGCCTCTCGCACCACTTGCCGTGCTTCTTCTTGGGCTCCGCGCAGGTCGCAGCGAAGCACTCACTGCCCTGATGCTCAA